TAGTTTATAGAGCTAATTAAGCTTTAAAATTAATATATATTATTAGCTATTGCCTAGCTTATATTAAGCTTAAAGTCTTTATTAATAATAGAGTTTTTATAGTAGGTAATATTCTTTAAATTTATTAAATTAAGGAATTTTGCTGTAATTTTATTAATATAAAAGTCTTAAGATAACTAGAGCCTTTAGTTAGCTTAGTTTCTTATAATTTATATACTTAGAAACTATTTTAAGTCCTCTAAGTTCTTTATTTTATATATTTCTTTAAGCCTTTTAATAAGACTAGTTACTTTATTATTATAAGCCTTTTTAAAGATAAAAACTATATTATTAATATAGATAAATATAGTTATTTTATTATTAGTAAAAATATAGAGCTCTTCTATTAGTTGCAGAAGCTCTATAGATATAAGAGTTTTTAAAAGGTTCTTTTGCTATAAGAAAGGCAACCTTCTTAAGCTATATAAAGCTCTTTTTAGCTTTAGTACTTAATTAGGCTTTTTAAAGCCTCTAGAGTACTTTATATAAACTATTTTATTTAATAAGCAAGAAGGCTGTTTATAAAAGTATTTACAGTATTTAGCTATATAGCTTCTAAGTTAAATTAAGCTAATATAGCTATAATAAGCCTAAAGCTTTTAGCAGCTAGAGTAGCTATATAAGTATTTTTTTTATTATAAAGTTGCTAATTCTCTTTAATATATAATCTAGCTTTTAGCTTAACTAGATAGCTAAATTTATCTAGCTTATACTTAAAGACCTAAGTAGTATCTAGAGCTTTAAATATAGCAAGATTTTCTTAAATAGGCTCGAACGTTTCTTGCTGCGAATTTATACTAAATTCTTGTTTAGCAGCTTTTTAAAATTCCTTGCCGAATCTATAGTGCCTTAAATCTAACTATTTTAGCGGTTTAGAGGGCAAATTCAATATATAAAGGCTCTTTTTAGCCCCTTAGAAAAAGCTGCTTATATAAGCTTGCTTAGTCAGCCCTTTAGCTGCTAGCGCTATTTCCTAATTTAAGTTAGCTGCATTGCTAGCCTAAATTATATTGCTAGCTTTATTAGCTATATAATGCAATATAGAGCTTAAATAGCCGAATTAATTCGTAATATTAAGTAGTTAGTTAGATAATTAATCTTCTGCTTCTAGCGGCTCCTTAGATAATAGTTAATCTAGCTAAATAAGTAGTTTTTCTATAGATATTTAACTAGATAAAGGTTCTTCTAATTAACTAAGCTCTTAAAGGTATATAAAATCCTTATATTTCTTCTTATCTTTAATATAAGCTAGTAGATAGATTTCTATCTGGCTTTTAATAAGTTTAAAGCTCTCTATAAAGTAAATAAATAACTTATTAAAAGTTATATCTCTAACTCTTCTAACTTTATTACTAGA